AGGGTAATGATGCTCATTGGTATGTTTTTCCCTGAGAATTAACGGTCAGATTGACCCCTCTTCGAAGAATTGGGCCCGGGTAAAAGAGAATATCACCCATCCTGGCCTCAGGAATGTAGGAGTAACACGATACAAGGGAATCCACGAGCAACACAGTGGCAACAATATGATGATCAGATATCTTCTTATTCTTCTACAAACATCACAATCCAAATGCTCAAAAGTAGTCCACGGAATTGGTGTTCACTTCAATTAGGATTTTTTCAATCTAAACTAAAGCAACTTAAATTAGGGAGGGGTATTCATAGACTATCTTCTCATTTACAGTCTATAGAGAACATTAATACCATCTCAAGCTAATTTAAAAAATAATAGGGAGCACTCTTTAAATTTAAAGCAGGGGCAGCATTTCTGGAAAACATATTAATACCATAATTATATTTTTGTAACTGGTTTGTGTTGTTTGTTAGATGTTTGAAACGCTCTCTAGCTAAATATAAAATAATGGGGACCATTCTAAGACTGTGGAAACCAATATGCAACAAAAAATGGACCTCCTGATAGAGCACACATAGCTTCTTATTTATGAATACCGCAAGGTTTGATCGAAATGAACTTACTGAGATATGTAGAAATTAGATTAAAACAATAGACAGGTTCGTAAATTGAACTACTCTTCATTGTGACATAAACCGTAGAGTATTGGGCGAGTAGGCAAATCGACGAGGGCTTCATCAACCATAATCACTTGAACAGTAAAATCGCAAAGGAAAAGAGGGAGAGACTATTGCTACATACCTTGGATGCAACTGTCGAATTCGAGGTCGAGATTCTGAGAGATGAAGATGCTGAAGGATTGGATTGAATAAAGAGCCGGGTGGTTACCTGGGAGGTTCGGATAGACGGGTGACATTGCGGACGGGGACGCGGATGGGATAGCTGTGTGATGGGCTGATAGCAACATTGGCAAGGTTGGGAGCGACGAGAGATAAAAGAACAGGACGGTGTATTGAAGGCTGGGATTAAAGAACGAAGAAGATGGAACGGATGGGAGCTACTGTACAGATGGAAATAAAACGGAAGTTAAGCCCTTTAATAATAGAGTACAGACGGCCAAACATATGGTACTACTCTACTAAGCTACATGATTACACCAACATTTTTCTAATCCCTTAAATACCCTAATCTTCATTGGTGATTATAAGATTTTAAGATAACGTGGCATAAGAAGTAAAATTTAAACTGAGAACTTTAATTTGTTGATTAAGTTGATATCAATTTGAAATGAGAAATACGTAGTAATACTTAAAACTATATTAATTATATACGTTGAATTTAAACGAATAAAACAAAATGGAATTTGAAACTTTGTTTCTGGATTTGGATAGGTTGGCATGCCAATAGGGATAGTTAATACGGCCGTAGAATTTGATCGTTTAGGGTCCGCAGCCACAGAGTAGACAGTACCCAACGAAAGGCTTGACCCACACAACGGTCAGTGCTGATACTATACCATACCCGAAATCTTGAACTTTGATCGTTTAGGGTCCGCAGCCACAGAGTGGACAATACCCAAACGAAAGGCCTGACCCACACAATGGTCAGGCTGATACTACTCAGATGGTCCGCAGACACAGAGTGGACAGTACCAGATGAGGAATGTCATGTTTATCCAGTCCATTAAATTAAGGAGTAGAATTCCAGAAACATAATAAAAGAATAACGATGTGAAAAAGATAATAGAGAAATTGACAATGAGTAAAATGATGAAAATTGAGCAAATGGAAGTTAAAGTGAGACAAGAAGAAAATCGAATGGAATATTGAGTTACAGCTATGATATAGCTCATGTGAATTTTGACTCTGACATAAAGTGGTGAAAATGGAAATAGAAAGAATTGATGAAAAATGCACAAATAGAAATTGAGAAAATGAAAGAATGATATGAATATAAAAATGAAAGATTATGGGAGAATGTAATATTTTATTCAATTTAAAAATTAGATTTTTGCTCATAAATTATTTATGTTGAAATAAGCTAGGGTTGAATACGAGGATTATCGAAAAAGTTAATGAATGAATAAGTTACGATTTAACGCTTAATATCCTGATAGAGAAAAGTGTACTGTGAATACTTCTTTATAAACTATAAAGAAAATTACGAGATCGCAATTGAAATAAAGAGCAGAATTTTAATGAGGATATTATGCATTTTGAAACATGTATATAAGTAAATATTTTGAACAAGAGCTACTACTATTCGAACGTAATGAGGTATATAAAGATTTGATTTACAAGCTATTAAGGCATTCAAATAGTTGATATCTATCAACTATTAAGAGCTTAAATACAATGTCACTTTTCAATTATACGATATTCAATTAAATGGAAAGCTATTTAAATCAAAAGTCAAATGATCTAGGGCTGACGCCGCTAGTTTTCGGTCCGGTCTTGGTGATATTACCGAGGCGCGGTGCGTCATCGGAAGTAACGATCTTGGGAAGGGTTGAGGCTATAAAGCGGGGGCGAGGAGTGGTGAACGGAAAAGGTAAAAACGAGGCTTGCGTGTTAAGTCGAGAACGAGGAGGGGTGCATCGCATATTGCTGCGCTCAAGGATGGAGACCATAACGGATAGGTATAGGCGGATGAAGGTGGTGGAGAAGGAGGCAGATCAACTGGACTGCGACGATGCCGAGGAAGGAAAGGAGGACATGGAGGTGGCTCGGCCGCGGTTCTCGGTGGTTGGAGCGCTGATCGCAGACCGGAACATCAACTTTGCAGGCCTCAAAGAGGCGTTGGCATCGGCGTGGAGACCAGGCAAGAGGGATGGAGATCAAAGAAATAGAAGAAAAAAGGTATATCTTTAATTTTAATCACCCTGTGGATATGAAGCGTGTGATTGAAGGCGGACCATGGCAGTTTGAGAGGAATCTATTGATTGTTAAAGAGATAAAACCTATTGATATTCCTCACAAGATTATTCTGAATGAGGCCGAATTTTCGGTTAGAGTCCATAACGTTCCCTATGGTCTGTTGAACTTAGGTACTACTAGGAAAGTGGGTAATTTTTTGGGTAAGTTTGTTGACTATTATAAGAATAATTATGGGGAGCAGTGGAGGCCATATTTGCGTGTTAAAGCTTGTGTTAATGTGGAGTTCCCCCTGAAGAAGGGTACAACGTTGAAAAAAGAAGGGGTGGGATATTGGGTAGATTTCCAATATGAGAAACTTCCCAATTTTTGCTTCATTTGTGGGGTTATGGGGCACTCTGAAAAGTTCTGTCCTCTTATGTATGAGGAGGGACTTATACTAGAAAAGAGTTTTGATGCGTCTCTCAGGGTAGGTGGAGGGGTGAAGACCAGTCTGACAGGAAAAAGTAAATGGTTGATTGGGGAGGACTCGAGTTCGGGATGGGAGAGCCAGGGGTGGAAAGAGCAAGGAAAAGTAGGGAAATTACTGAGGGATAATGAAGATGCAACTGACTCAGGTAGTACTTCCAATAAGGAAGTGGTTCTGAAACAAAGTGAAGAAGCTTCGGGAGAAAAGCGTAGGCGGTGGGAAATAGAGACAGCTCAAAACCAGGACACCGAGGAGATAGCTCTGGATAATATAAAAAACGGGGAGGCGACGGACTTAGAGAGGTAAGCTCGTCAAGGGTGTGGGTGCTAAAGATGAGGATGGGTTGGCGCTGCGGTGTGTTTGTTCGTGCTTTTGGTTGTTGTTTCTTTTTCTGTTGGGTTTTTTCTGTTTCTGGTAAGATTTGTATTTCCTTTTGCTGCTTTCTTTGTTTTTCTGATTGTAATACATTATGTTTGGATTTGGTGGTAGGAGATGATTTAACTAGGATTACCATCACTGGCTCAGTTGTGCCCATTTTTGGATCAGTGAGTTATATTACTGAGGTAATTGACTCTGACTCTGGTTCGCGGGACGACGGTTTTCTTGCTTTCCAAATGATTTGAGTTAAATGTAAGCCGCGTTTCCTCAAAAAAAAAATGGAAAGCTACTGAAACAAAATGCATTTGTATGAGATTTATAAGTCACCCGTAAAAATCATATTGAAGAAGTTTATATTTTCAATGCAATATATATATATATATATATATATATATATATATATGTCATGTTATTTTTAATTATTGGTTTGTTATGTGATATTTGATATTGATAGAATATGGAGAAAGAATGAACACCACTAAGCAAGATTTGCTTAGCACGTTGGATTTTGTCCTTCGCGTAGGTACATAGCTGATGCGAGCCAAGGTTCAAGGAGAAAAGCATTTGGGAACAACCTGCCAATCAACACAAAGTCACACTTGCATATTAATACTATTTCATTTTCAGTCTGCATAATAAACATGTATTAAGCATATTAGAATAATGTAATAGCATCACTAAACATTTATTTATTATGTATAAAATATGAATGCTTCCGCAAATATGAAATTTCTTAAAGTTATTACCACTAGCTTGCTTTTATCATGAAAGTGTTTTTGGAATAATGAAAAAGATCATAAAAAGTTAGTCTGCGCTTTGGTGCTCCGGCACTGCGGGTAGCGATCCCTGCCCGAGCCTTCTGGGCCAGGTAGGGGGTGTTACAAATTGAATCTATTAAATTTATAAAACTCAGACCGAAGTAGTTGAATTTTCTAAGTTGTGGGAGAATTATATTTAAAATCTGGAGTATATTTAATACTTTATCAATAAAATTAAGAAAAAATTACATGAAAATAGTTAATAGTTAAAATAATCATTAACTTCAGTCAATTAAAAGTTTTTTGCAACCTTTACTCTTTTGATTATTCCATAATTCAGATTGTCACAATTTCTTATTTTATTACTCCATCCGTTCTTATTTGAGTTTACACTTTTCTTTTTTTGGATATCCCAACCAAGTTTATACTTCCTCCTTATTTAGTAAAGAAATTTACACCGTAAAACAGTGTCAAATATGTTATAACAATGTACTTTACAATCATATTTGTGAAGTCAAAGTGTTTGTTAACTTTAACTTGAGGAGAGAGTGTTTTCTACTAGTCCGGCATATGATGGACGATTGACTTCTTATCTTCTCATTTCCGTTCTCGAAGTCCATTTCTCCAATTAGTCTCAACCCATATAAGAAGAAATAATATCTGAATCCGGTCATTATCACCTATTGAGCTCCCAAATCTCTCACTTTTCGATGAATCATTGAGCAGAGTTCGATTACTGATGAATGATAGGTAGGGGCATGACAAATGATGTTACCGATGGTCGATTGCCGGAGTTTGATCGAGTTTTGCCGATCATTCGAGCCGCGCAAGAACAGGAACCGATTTCAATCCAATCCCCACAGGCTTCCCCGGAACAATAAGAATCACTGCCACTCCAATCTGCTAGCTCACCCTTTTTGCAGCGATCACTCCCGCATGGCAGCTCTTGACGCGGTTATACTCATCCTGGTAATTGGATCTGATGGAAGTAAATCCACCGGAAAATAATTAATAAGAGATAGCCGAAAATAATTAAAGTGCTCAGGATAATCTTTAGAGAGATAAATGTATGTAGTATATTCAGTGTATTGAGCTTTATCAACATTCCAAGGATTACATGATTTTATAGTAGAAAATGAGACATAAAAGATTTGGGCGACGTGGTCGCCATGTTCGATTTGATATGCAAATCAGTAATCCGGATCCGCAGGATCCTTTGTTGATTCACTTGATTGTGTGAATATCTTGAAAAGACGTCATTGATGTAGTTTGTCCGCACGGAGTCACCATGTAGGCATAACGTCCAAAGACACCATGCATATGTTATTTGGATAAGCTTCTACTACTATGTACAGGGTCATTGTGGGCGCTCCTCTGGCTAAGGTACTTGATCGCGTCCATGGTTGCTGTGGACATGCTCTCTGGATAAGCCTACCCCGACATCCACGGTCACTGTGTAGTCCCTGATCTTCTATTAACTTGCGTCCACAGTCGCCATGTACAGTATTTTATCTTCTAACCCGCGCGTGGTCACCATGTACGAGCTCTTCTTATACCTTGTCATCATCCGGGCATAGTTACCATGCACATCAACCTCTAACTGTTTTCATCCATGTTAACCCGGTCAACATTTATCCATGGTTGGGATAATTATACCATCACAAGCCCCCCACTCCTTAAGCCAAATAGCATATTGGCTATAAGGAGTGTAGACACAGTTACCGTGTCAACCTTGAGCGTACATGGTCACCATAGCCGAATAGTATATTGGCGATAAGGATTGTAGATACATGGTTGCCATGTCAATCTGAAGTGTACATGGTTACCATGCCAATATTTTTGTCTTTTTACTTGTTCAATCATTTAAAATTTTATCTTTTAATCAAAATTTATATTCCCAACTTTACTTTCTTCCTGGCAGCTTGGTTGGGTGAGGGTCAGCCACCGGCCACCGCCATTCTTGTACCGCCCAGGTCGCAGCTCGCCGGCAACCAGGCCAGCGTCGTCCGCTGCTCGCCGGCGTCCATCCGCGCCACCAGCAAGCCCACTCAGAGTTCCCGTCAGCCACCGCCCTTTTCAGCCTCCGACGGCTGCCGCGAGTAAACCGAACACCTCAACTTCACCAGCGTGGACCCTGTAGCGCCGGACGCCAGATTTTGCAGCTGAACCAGCAATGTCGTCGGTTATCCCCGCCCCAGGTTGCGGTCCGTTTTTCTGCTACGCCCTATCCCGGTCGCCGCCATCAGTCCTCCGTCGTCAGACACCAGCAAACTCCAGTGACATCAAGGAATTTTACGCCGTCGTCGTCTACTTCCTGCGGCGTCGTTGTTCTACACTGGGTTCCTCTGTCGTTGTCCTGGATTTTCCGCCGTTGCTGTTAAGGTACGCACAGAGGTACGCTCCCTGCATTCTCCCTCTTTCCTTTTATTTGTTATTTTGACTTTTCCTTTTTAAAGCTTCTCCGTATTAATTTTGGCTTTGAAACATACTTCGTAGTTCGTACTTCGTAGCTCCTTTGTTCCGTGAAACACACTTCTCCGTGAAACACTTGGGATTGAATCGTCCCTAGACCTCTTCAAGCATATGTTCCGAGCTGGGCAGTGCTCGGCATCTGATAGTCTGTCCTGGGTGTCTATCTCTCAGCGCAGCCACTTTGACATGTGGAAGGTCACTCGTAGCAACGAAGCCAATTGGAAAGAAGAATTTGTCTATGTGTCGTCTGGATCTCCGTTACCCTTCTCATTGTCTTTGAATTGTCGATTTAAGAAGTATTCATACCCGAAACTTCCGGTTGACCAGGTGACATGGCCGGCTATGATTCTTTCTGGAGGACCGTATAGCCTCTCTGCCTTTACTTCTGAGGACCGCCTACCCACGGTTGGACTCTATTCGCCGTCACCATGTTCGGGTGCACACGAATCCACGCCCACGGATCAAGGTCGTCCACAGTTACCTTGTCTATAGGAGATAATACACGCATATATATTAACTAACACATATGCATACCTTTTTTTTTTCTTTTTTGCAGACATGACATCGCGGCTGGAGATGTTCCAAAGCTTCGACAAGGATGGACCTCGCGGTAGTGACCAGGGGCGCTCTGACAAGAAACCAAGGGCTCCCTCCGTCACCAAAGGCAAGGACGTTATCGTAACCATGCCTTCATCCGTGGCGAAACGCAAGGCTCCTAGTACCGCAACCCGCATCACCCGGAGCATGAGTGACATTCCCATTACGGGGATGACTACTTGGTTACGAGGTAACATTGAGTTGCCCCCGCTTTTATCACTGACAATCCCGGCGACTGAGAAGGAGCAAATTTTAGCACTTGACAACGTTGCTCTAGAGAGGAGGAGTCACCATGGCCTGGCAGAGGTAACGTTCCCATTTCCCTGTCACTTTTTATCTATACATCTCGTGATACTAATTTTTACCTTTTGTTTTGTAGCTACTGACATCCATCTCCGAGGTGAACCGAAGGAAGGACGAGCGCGAGCAAGAGTTGTTGCTACAACTTACTGAACTGGCAAAAGAGGTGGCCTCGCTCAAACTTATTCGTGATTCACATGCAGCCGAGGTCGCGACGCTCAAAGACATGCACGCCGTGGAGTTGGCGAATGAAAGAGGTCGGGCCGTGGATGCATACAAGAATTCTTCAGAGTTTGTGTCTGATCGGGAAGCTTACATCAGTGCCCACCTCGGTGACATTAGCAAGCGTTGGTTGTCTACTCCGGATGGCCAAGAGAAACTGGCTTTAGAGAGCTACATCTCCTACCAGATCGGGATATATGCCACTCAACAAAAAATATATCTTATCCTGAGGAATAAGGCTGGTACCACTTGCATCACTGATTGGGGACTTCCTCCTGAGGTTCCCAACCCTGAGATCCCGGTAGCCAACACGCCCCTGGACTACATTCCCTTTGTCAGACTCCCCACTGATGAGGAGCTTGGCGATCTCCCTTCCGAGACAGATCACCCAGCTTCGACCGCTTCTGTACCTTAGAGCATGCATGGGAGTGACGGATGGACGTAGTGTAGACTTTTAATTTCGTCATGTCTTCCATCATGAGTGCCTGTATTGCTAAACATGTTTTTAATTTCATGAAATAATAATGACGCATGTCTTATTTTTCCTTTCGTTATTGTTTAATATTATCGCATAATCCATTATTTGACTAATATTTTGATTTTATGAGATCACCCTGTGACCATGCCTCGTTTGACACGGTTTGCATGATCACTTATAGTAGTATATGGTGATACTACACCAAGTGTAAAACTTTGGTGCATTTATCACCCCATATCTGCCTAATTTTGAATTGAGGCATTTTGTATTTATATAGAGTGACTAAGGACAACGATAGGCACAAGGTGTCGTTGACACCTCCTCCTTCGCTACATTGCGCGCATCACTTAGCCCCAAAAAGTAGGACTAAGTGAGCGAACCTAACACTTGAGTGACCTAGGCTTGCTCTGGGGCACACAACGTTTTTTGGGAAACATGGCCGCTATCCGATAAATTTCACAGATGCATCCTGACCATACAACCCTGAGGGTTACGCATTTGTTGGGATCGATTTGCGATGTATCCTCGTCCCCTTTCTAGGGGTGAGTCTATACCCCTTGCGTGTTGAGAATTTCAGCTATGTCATAGGAGACATGCCTGGCTACTTACTAGTTTTTTATTTCATTTTTTTTGTTTTGGGTGAGTTTTACACCCACGGTGTCCTTGGATGACACCTTGTAATTTGTCTCTGTTTTGGGTGAGTTTGACACCCACGGTGTCCTTGGACGACACCATGTTTTTTTTTTTGCGGCCAGGAACTGCCATTATTCGCTTGGGGATAGGCAACTGACGCATTGCTGTGTTTGATCCCCCAACTCTCACAGAATTCGTTAAACCCGGATGCTCCGAATTGCCTCCCATTATCGGTTATGATCTGTTGGGGTACTCCAAAGCGACAAAGGATGTGCTTCATGACAAATTTTCTGCATTGCCCTTCAGTGATGCTAGCTAGAGGTACTGCTTCTATCCATTTAGTAAAATAGTCTATGGCAACGATAACCCATCTCACGCTCCCTGTTCCCCTTGGTAAGGCACCAATGAGATCTATCCCCCACCTTGCGAAAGGTATAGCCGTGCTGATGGGGGTGTAGCTGGTGGCTGGACGTCCCGGAGATTTCTGGAACTCTTGACACACCACACACCTCTTGACAAATTCAGCGCAATCCTTAACTATGGTTGGCCAGAAGAAACCTTATAGGATTACCTTTCGGGACATGGTGTGTGCTCCTTGGTGAGCTGAGCATATCCCTGCATGTATCTCTTCCATGGCAACCTTGGCTTCATCTGGTCGTAAGCACTTGAGAAGCGTGCCATTGTAAGACCTCTTGTACAGTTTCTCATTCAAAATTGTAAAACTCGGCGCCCTCATCTTAGTCACCTTGGCTTCAACCTCCTCCGCGGGCAGCACTCCCTCGTTGATATACTTGATGAGGCAGTCAATCCAGTCCGCGTCCCTCGTGGTTATGGCCTGGACAGGGCACGCATATATGCTGGAAGTGTCTCTGCACTTAATTTGGATAACATGTCTACTTCGACATTTTGCGCTCTTGGTATCTGTTCAATTTCATAGGCGATGAACAATTTCAGAAGTTCCAGGGCAGCGTCACGATATAGCCGCATCCGTTCTTCCTTCGCCTCCAACTCAGTCGTGATCTGTCCAACCACTAGTTTTGAATCACACCGTATCCTGACCTTCTCCGCCCTCATGTTCGCCGCCAAGCGTAGACCACATAGTAGAGCCTCGTACTCTGCCTCGTTATTTGACACCTTGAAGTTGAACCGGATAGCGTAATAGGCCCTGAAGCCTTCGGGCGTGGTGAGGACCACCCCTCCCCCGCAAGATTTGGCCGCGGAGGAGCCATCCGTGGACAATATCCACCACTCTTGTTCATCGTCACCATGCTTCATCTTCGTTGCTTCCTCCCGCGCTGTGCATTCTACTATGAAATATGCAAGAGCTTGCCCCTTGATGGAAGGTCTTGGCTTCACCTCTATATGAAATTGACTTAGATACACTGCCCATTTGACCATCCTCAAGGAAGCCGTGGGACTTCTCATTAAGGCACCCAGGGGTTGGTGTGACAGTACATGGACAGGGTGAGCTTGGAAATATTGTGTGAGCCGTTTGACCGTCCACACCACGGATAGAACAGTTTTTTCTATGGTTGTGTACCGTAGCTCAGCGTCCCTCAAAGTTTTGCTTACGTAGTAAACGGGTCTCTGGACGCCACCATCTTCACGCACCAGGACAGAACTAATTGCACTTGGTGAAACCCCTAGGTATAGGTATAATGTCTCCCCCGCCTCAGGTTTGGACAAGACAGGAGGAGACAAGAGGTAGTTTTTCAATCCCTCGAATGACTTTTGGCACTCCTCAGTCCATACGAAACCCTTTGATTTCTTCATGATGTGGAAGAATGGCGTGGCTTTCTCTGCTAGTTTTGATAAGAAGCGGTTCAAAGCCGCTAAGCGTCCCGTCAATCGCTGCACTTCTTTGACATTAAGAGGAGGTTCCATTTCGAGAATGGCCTTGACTTTCTCCGGATTTGGCTCGATTCCTCTTCTGCTTACCAAGTAACCCAGGAACTTCCCTCCCTGCACGGCGAACGTGCACTTCTTTGGATTGAGACGAAGATTGAACTTCTCCATGATTTTGAACACCTCTGCCAAATCCACGGCATGCGTACCTGCTCTTTTACTCTTCACAATCATATCATCCACGTAGGCCTCCATGGTGCGGCCTAGGACAGGTCGAAAAAGTTTAGAGATCATGCGAGTGTACGTTGCCCCAGAGTTTTTCAGTCCAAACGCCATGACTAAGTAACAGAAAACACCCTCTGGAGTCATGAATGAGGTCTTCTCTGCATCCTCCTCATGCATGCGAATTTGGTGGTATCCACTAAAAGCATCCATGAAACTCATCAATTCGCACCCCGCTGTCTCGTCCACCAATTGGTCGATGTTAGGCAATGGGAATGGATCCATCGGGCATGCCTTGTTTAGGTCAGTGTAATCAACACACATCCTCCACGTTGGGGGTTTAGGTGCTAATACCACATTTGCCAACCATTCTGGGTATTTTACCTCCTTGATGTGGCCGATTTTTAACAAGGTGCCCACTTCTTTCCTCACGAACTCCCGCCTGTCCGAGGACATGTAACGTTTCTTTTGTTTCACCGGTTTTGACATAGCGTCCACGTCTAGGCGATGAGAGATGACATCTCTACTGATGCCCGGCATGTCCTCTGGTCCTCTTGCAAATACACCTTGGTACATAGTCAGGACGGCTATGATCTCAGCACGGAGCTCAGCCGACAACCCGGTGCCTATCTTAACCTTGCGCTCTGGGATTGCAGGGTCAAGGGTGACCTCTTCTGTCCCTTCTACTGGTTCTGCACGGGGTCTTCGCTCTTCATCTTGTAGGTATTGTGTGGCGACGGTGTTCACCTGGTGGCCATGCCGCCCCACCTTCTTTGTGATTTTTATGTAGCATGTTCGGGCGAGCTTCTGGCTCCCGCGTGCTATCCCCACTCCGGTTGGTGTTGGGAACTTAATACAGAGATGTATCGGGGACACAATGCACTGCAAATCTTCCAGCCCTGGTCGTCCGAGTATAAGATTATGTGCACATGTCAATCGGACGACTACGAACTCCATGTTAAGTTTCACTTTATGGGATGTGTCCCCTACCTCCACCGGGACTGTGACGACTCCTTCTGCCTCGATAGAGTCACCTGTGAACCCGGACAATGGGGTTTTTATCGGATGGAGTTTTCCTTTGGGCAGCTTCAGTTTCTCGAAAGTGTCGAGGTACATTATGTTCACGGAACTTCCCGTGTCGACCAGGGTACGGTGTATGACAAGATCATTGATCTCCATTTTGATAACCATGGCATCCCGATGTGGGCTTGGACATGGTGGTAGGTCATCATCAGTAAAACATATAGGTTCGCGTCGTACCTTCTTTTTCATTGGAGAGTGCATGATCTCACCAATGTATAATTGACGAGCCCATTTCTTTCGAAGGGACGAAGAGTCCCCGCCTGCATTACCTCCATAAATGAAATTGATGTCATGGTGCCTCTTGTCTCGCTTCGGCCCTGGCTCATCTGAGGCGTCCTCGTCACTCTCATTTCCGATGTGTCTTTTCTCTGCCCTTCGGGTCTCCTGCTGCGTGCACGCCACTTTTTCTGAGGACTTCCGCCATACATGGTTGGGCTGCTGTGCAGCCCCTTTGACGAAGTTACTCAGATGGCCCCTTTGGATCAGTCTTTCAATCTCGCGTTTCAAGGTAAAGCACTCCTCCGTGTCGTGATTATCAACCCAGTGATAGCGGCAATACTTTTTAGCACCAGAGACAGTGTACACTTCACCCTCCGGCCTCGGTCCTTGCATGAGACCCGTACGCTCGGCATAGTCCAAGATCGTACCCACAGGATGAGTTAGGGGCATCGAGCTTGTATAAGGAATCTGCCTTGGACCATAATTGAAATCTTTCTTGATTTTCTTTTGTTTTTTGTGGTGAGGGGAAGACCCCTCCCTCCAAGGCTCCGATGACTCATCCTTTTTCTTTTGCACCTCTCGGATCTCCGCATCGGCGTATCGGTCAGCTCTTTGAAGGGCTGCCTGGTACGACCTTGGCGGGTCCCGGATGAGACTTGAGGCGAACTCCCCAGCCCGCAACGCTGCCTGGAACATGGCAAGGCGAGTTTGGTCGTCCGCCCCATGCACGGAAGAAGACTCCTTCCTCCACCGTATCACGAAATCTTTCAAGTCCTCACCCTTCTTCTGTTTTACGGTCAGGAGGTGTGAGTAGTGTTGCTTGGTTCTTTTGCTAGCGGCAAAGTGTTGAAGAAACCTTTGCGCTAAGTCCTCCCATTCATCTATCGAGCCATGGGGGAGAGAATTGAACCACTCACACGCAGTTCCCTCCAACGTAGCTAGGAAACATCGGCAAATTATTTCCTCCGATGCCCCAATCATAATCATATTAGCATAATAACGTGACAAATGTTCCTGGGGATCTGAGGTTCTCGAATAGGCCTTGACATGGGGCGCTTTGAAGCCAACTGGTAACGGGTATGCCATGATCCGTGTAGTGAACGGGGTCACCGTCTTTAGTTTAGCGTCTGTGTTTCCATCTCCTGCATCTACCCGTCGCTGCAGGTCCTCGATTTTTCTCCATAGCTTCCTCACCTCCATGTCATTTAGATCATTCTTGGTTCTGTCTGCTTGAATCGTCACACGTTTCCTGCCACCGTCCTCTACTTCTGTGTTCCTCGGTTTTTGTGAACGTATTTCAGTCCCGCCGACATGCTCAGTCATGTGTCCAAGTGAATGGTGACTGGTAGTCATATGGGTGACTTTGGGAGCTTGCACGCGCTCCTCTTCACCGTGGTCATGTCGTCCACGGTGGTTTTGTGTATCCCTTTCTTTATCAACATGGTGCGATCGTCCGAGACGGTCTTTAGCAGAGCGTCGTCGGTCTCCCAATCTACTAAACACCGAGGCTTCACTTCGAGCTGGTTGGTTCGAAGAGACAGGGACTCCTCGTCCCTCTCTTCTCTCTCCATTTTTTTGAGATGGCGCCGGTGATGTCACCTCCACCTCCACCGCCGGATGATTAGTCGGAACTTGAGTTCCGTGTGGTTGAGGAGGCTTTTGATGAGTGCTAGGAATTGCACGGCGTACGTCCTTCGCAAGAGTACCCAACATCTTGGTCATCCCTAGGATGGCACCATGGACATCGGGCACTTCTACGGGAACCACCGCAGGGCGGCTAAGTCGGTTACGCAGGTCTTGACCCGATGAGTTGGACGCAGTGTGTCCATCAGCGGGTACATCCTTCTCCGCCCTTGTAGTAGCCATTGTTACAACGTTGAGATCGCCTGAGTGTATTTTCGGCTCTCAATGAAAGCACCAAAATGATGGAAGTAAATCCACCGGAAAATAATTAATAAGAGATAGCCGAAAATAATTAAAGTGCTCAGGATAATCTTTAGAGAGATAAATGTATGTAGTATATTCAGTGTATTGAGCTTTATCAACATTCCAAGGATTACATGATTTTATAGTAGAAAATGAGACATAAAAGATTTGGGCGACGTGGTCGCCATGTTCGATTTGATATGCAAATCAGTAATCCGGATCCGCAGGATCCTTTGTTGATTCACTTGATTGTGTGAATATCTTGAAAAGACGTCATTGATGTAGTTTGTCCGCACAGAGTCACCATGTAGGCATAACGTCCAAAGACACCATGCATATGTTATTTGGATAAGCTTCTACTACTATGTACAGGGTCATTGTGGGCGCTCCTCTGGCTAAGGTACTTGATCGCGTCCATGGTTGCTGTGGACATGCTCTCTGGATAAGCCTACCCCGACATCCACGGTCACTGTGTAGTCCCTGATCTTCTATTAACTTGCGTCCACAGTCGCCATGTACAGTATTTTATCTTCTAACCCGCGCGTGGTCACCATGTACGAGCTCTTCTTATACCTTGTCATCATCCGGGCATAGTTACCATGCACATCAACCTCTAACTGTTTTCATCCATGTTAACCCGGTCAACATTTATCCATGGTTGGGATAATTATACCATCAGGATCCCTCGGGTTTCTCTTCATCCCGTATTTCATATCAGTTACCGCCCATCTCATCCCGATTCTTCTCGAAATCGCCGTCGAAGTCATCAGCGATGCCCCCGCTGCGTATTTCGTGGGCTTGGTGGCGAGTCTTTTAGGAGTGGTCGCCGTCATCGTGGCTTGGGAGATCCTCGATCTACGATCTAGGAAGTGTGGGAATCCGAATTGTCAGGGGTTGAGCAAAGCGGTGGAGTTCGATATCCAGCTGGAGTCGGAGGAGTGTCTCAAGTATTTGCCGGCGGACGCCGCGGCAAACGGGAACGTGTTTTACAATTACGGATCGAAGCGGTTGGATTTGGGGCAGGATCGGAAAGAACTTGAGGCGGAGCTCAAGAGAATGGCGCCGCCCAACGGACGGACGGTTCTCATCTTCCGAGCACCCTGTGGGTGCCCCGCAGGTAGACTCGAAGTTTGGGGCAACAAGAAAGTTCGTAAGATTAAGAAATGAATCATCATCACCATAGTAGACTTGATAAACATACTCTGTAATTTGATATACATACATTATGAATAAATAACTAAATAAATAAATAAATAAATAAATAAAGTCCTTCATAATTAAGAAATGAATCATCATCATCATCAGTTTATGAGAGTATATACTTCCTCCGTTCTTTAATTCTTGCATGATTTTTGTACCCTTCACAAATCTTTTTTTGATCACGATTTTCTACTAATATACATAATCAAATTATTACGTATAAAATGTTATTAAATTGTTATCAATGTTAATTTCCAAAATATCAACTTTTATATTGTTTAATAATACATAATTAAATATAATTACAGTCAAAGTTGCGCGTTGGCAAACGTGAAAGTCGTGAATTAAAGAACGTAGGATCAGGGGCGGAGCCAGGGGGTCAGGGTGGTCAGTCGACCCCCGCTAAAAGTTCAAGAGCATAGAACTTTGAAATACCTTCGATTTGATATATTATGGGTCTCGTAACTCATTACGAGTAAAAAGATATGATTTCTGGAAAATTCAGCATCATCTTAACTTGAAATAAACAAAATTTGATGTGTGACGTTGATTATATTCTTAAATTTAAAAATAAAACAGTTTATTCAGTCATTAGTTATGTGAACATTATGATACATTACATATATAACAATACATTAACTGATTTTTTATTATTAAACTACTATTTATCTCATCTACATATGAAACATTTAACTCATGATAAAAAAATGAAACATTTAACTCAAGTATTATATAATACCTATCCATTATTTTGATACTGTATATAATTAAATTCCGACCCCTCACACGTATTAATTAATTGTTAACAAAGCCTTCATGTTCCGAACAAGAATTGGTATCAATGAATGAACTCGTGAGAATGTCTAATTTAAATATAAATAAAGGCAGTATCAAGTCTCAACTATTTAACAAAATCTCCAAAACTTGAAACATCAAAACTAGGTAACAAACCAAGAAGTCCAAAAAAGAAAGGGTACATTAATGCAACGTGGCTTAAACAGTAGCAACAGATGGCTTAGAAGTAATAGAGAGTTTGGACCTCTTCTTGGCCACACTCTGAGTGCGCCTCTCCCTTTGCTCCTTCAGCCTACTGGCAAGCAACTTCTTGTATTCCTGAGCCTCTGTCTTAGCCTTGGCAATCCTAAGCTTCTTCTGAGCAATTCTGGCCCTCTTCCTCTGGAGGGTCAACAGAGTTATCAGCCTCTGTATTTTAGGAGCTTTGCTAACCTCCTTTCCCTTTTCATTAGTAAATGTCCTGCGGTATGTGTTGACATACTTCCTGACATCATCTTCCTTGGACAGGTTGAAGATTGAGCTTCCTAATCTTTGACGCTCTTTTAGGACCCCTCATCCTTGACTTCTCAACATCAGTCAATCCAGGAAGGTCATTTTCACCCTTCTTCACAATGGCCAAATTCAGAACTGAGAGGTAAGGATTGACAATGCACCCACGTACTGATTTTCTTCTCCTCTCACCATCACGCCTTCCATAACCCCGGAAACAAGGAGTACCTCTAGGCAGTAAAAGGCGAACACGGGTTGGAGTCAAGCAGTGGCGGATCTTGAACCAAAATATGGGGTGTTCAAAATTATTTTATCTATTGCACAATAATATTGTTTAATCTACCAATTGAGGAATGTAACTTTTCAATCATCAAAATCCCAACAAATAAGGTTAAGAGCAAGAAATATTACATAAAAACAATATATAAATTATTACATCAATTTTATATATGTATTTTAACATTTTATTTTCAAAAATTTGGGTGTTCACATGAACACCCTTGAACCAAAGAGGTCCGCCCCTGGAGTCAAGACTCCTTGCTTCATGGAAATCCTTGTTTGTCACATCCACCCATGATCTTGAATACATATCCCTTAAACTCCTCTCCCAAAGCATCACCATTGACTTCTTGAGAGATTCTCTTGTCATAAAAGGCACGAAGTTTCTGTTCATCATCAATCTCTAGCTTCTTCTGGCAACCCGTAGTCGGGTTTGCAATGTTGAACTTCATCCTCGCTCCCTGGAAAAGAGGAACTCGTGAGAATGTTCTTATGGTCTTTTGATTACAGTGAATTTTATTGTAGAATATACTCTTCTAACACTATTTGTCATATACTCCTTATTACGTACGTAGAACTATTTTGTCACAAGTACATAGCACTTGCTCAATTTTTTTTAACCATTCAAAAGAATGGCACTATCATTTATTCTCTCATGTGCACAAATTTTAAAGAACTATTAGTCAACTTTCCCGTCACTTAATTTTATAAATTTCAGCATAATCACTAATACTATTGATTTGGAAAACTTTCATTATGGAAAAAATTGTGACACAATCAATACATTGATTTTCGGTTGATAGGTCAATTTTTCATCAAACACATAACGCTTAATTAGCCACTGGAAAAAAATTGCTGATAGAGCTAAATCAGCACAATCGGTTGATTGAATTATTTTCCAGCCGCTTCAGTCAAAACTTTATAAATTTCAGCATAATCAACCAATACACAGATTTGGAAAACTTTCATTCTGAAAAAAAAAACAAGTTATAAAACCGATTATATAAATTTGCAGTACACTTATAAAACACGATCAAAACTTTCATACAATGAAAGACTCTTCGGCCACAAAGATGAAAATTAAAAGAATTTTTAATATATCAGATTTTTAGCTCTAATCGCAATTTTATTTGAAAGCAACTGCAAAGTAGCACTATATAGACATAAATATACAATAACAAATAACTAAACATGACATTAAAATGAGAATGTAATTAATCACAATCTGTTTTTTGATAATATTGTCGTTTTCTATTCCGCATTTAATAGAAACAAACAATATAGCCACACATTTATATTATCTAGAACAAAATTTCCTGATATGTCTAAGGCAAGAACTTAAAATGGGAGGGGTATTTTTTTAGCACAATGGCCATATAGATAGAGAGGTGTTTAGCTATGTGGCACTTCATCTTTTCAGAAGTGGTAAATGAGTGCCAAACTGCCAAACACATTATGAGTAATCAGGCAACTAAGCTATCTTTCAACCTTTTTTTTATAATCCACGGGGTGTCTGGGGAGGGGTTGGGGTTGGAGTAAATTGGGTTGAAACTCACCATTGAGTTTCGAACCCGCGACCTCCCATAAGGGAGAGTGAGTCGGCGACCAACTAAACTGGACCGTTTTCTCAAGCGATCCTTCCATCTTTTTTAACGCATATTTCTTTCACACAATGGGGAAGCCACCTACTATGTGACAGCCCAGGGAACCCCTTCCTTGAAAGGACTAAAATAAATGTTATATAGGTTTAAAGACTTACCTAGTTGGATTTCTTAGGAGATGTTTACTTCGCTACTAAAGTCACAGTTATGTTAGTAAGACAGATAAAGTAAACACGCAAGCGGCTTAAAAAGCTGCTTACTAACTGAAAGAGGTGCTTAAAGTGCCGCTTATTAAGCATATCACCTCCCATGTATTAATCAAGTGACACTTTAAGTTTTTTCAGTTTCTGAATTTACCCGTTACCCTTATCCCTTCACCTTACCCTATTTTACCCCTCTACTCGATACCCCTCTACCTACCTTAGCCCAACCCCACCCCGACCCGCACCCTATCTACCCCTACCCTACCTCGATCATTACCCTTACCCCTTTACCCTACCCCGACCCTACCCCCTACCACGGATCCACCCCGACCCCCACCCTACGCCCCCACCCCTACCCCTACACCCCGTAACCCCTTACCCTACCCTGACCCTACCCCTTTACCCCTATCACATACGAGGTACACGTACGAGGTGACCCCACATATTATATCATATACTTGTGTTCATGAATGTTTGTGTGTCTATTATGTATAGGGTTATTTTGGACATTTTAATGTTAAACGGTGTTTTAAATCCTTTGAAGTAAACATGAACCTGCTTATTTTATGCGTCGCTTATTAACGCGGGTCTTAATAAGGAGCATTTGGTAACCCGTGAAGTAAACGTATCCTTAAGGTTGTGATGAGAAGTTAGAAACCAAGCAAGCAATCATCAACCTCTATTAACCCTACTTTATATGTGTATTTAGCAACTCCCCTTAACTCTATAGAGATATAAAAAAAATTCTATCTAGTTGGTTGTTTTATATGACTGTAAAGAGGTTTATACCAACGTGGGATATCTTAAATCATACATCTACACCCATGCAGTTTAATGTTAATTAACTATTTATTTAAGTAATATGGAATTGATTTTTAAAACGAAAGTAAATTCTAATGTAAGGATGAATTTGTAAAATATTATAGAATAGGCATCACATACACATACAATTAACTACAAGGTTTTAAATTAGCAGAAGTTGAACAATTTCATCTTCTATACGGGAAAGTTCAAATAGAGGTTTTCTCATGCAAAGTGAGAATTAATTTTGTGCTTTCACTTCCAAATCTAATGGCTCAACATGAGCCAACAATGCACTAGAATCGATTAAAAACGCAGTGGTAATTTCGTAAATAAACCGAAGTTGCTTGCCACCACAAAAAAGTGCAACAAAAACATGCAATAGTGGAACGCGGAGAGGGAAAAGTGCAACGGTTCGCGCTTAGCGCGGGGGCACTACTTTTTATTTGAACTCTCCCCTATATATATAGCATAACACATATTCTTGCAAAGCGGTCCAACTCACTAGTCGCTGACTTACTCTTCCATAAGGGATGTCCGACTTTCGAAACTCCATGAAAGCAGTTTCAACCATCTAAGGTCCCCCACTCACTGGGGTAAAAAATATATTCCTGCAAAGCGGAATTGCAATTATATGTGTAGCATATAAGTTAAATACAACACATATATAGCGTTAAAAGAAAAAATCCAATATGTCAAATCCAAAATGTCAAATCCAAACAGACTAATCTAATAGTCTCTAATAAGTTACAACTACAAACAATAAACTTTATATATAAAAACAAAAGAGAAAGTTCCCGAAATGGGACTAAAAAAGTTCAAAAATTCCAAAATAGGACTGTCATGTTTTTATTCCCAAAATAGGACTAATTACTGCCAAATTTGGAAAATACTGCCATTTTTGAAGTCTGGTACTGCCAAAACATGGCAGTAATTAGTCCTATTTTGGGAATAAAAACATGGAAGTCCTATTTTGGAACTTTCAAACTTTTTAGTCCCATTTTGGGTAATATCTCAAAACAAAATTGAACAAGCCAAATCTAATTTTAAGATAAGTGGTAAGATGTTGAGCTAGTCACTTCAATTAGAAGATGTTGGTTTTAGATTCAGTCATTCTAGATCATCTATGACCTAAGACCATGAATCTTAATAAGCGTGGTTGTCCCTATAATCAAATTATCTTAGGCATGCGTACTATAAAATCATCGCCTCCTGGAAGTATGCTATCCTACTCCCATCTCCATGCATAGAAAGTTCGTTGTTACAAACACTCTTGAGTTTGAGCTCTTCACTGCCCTTCTCCCGTACCCTAAGTCCCTAAGCAGCTCACTGCCCTTCTCCCGCACCCTAAGCAGCTCACTGCCCACCCGCTTATATATGTGCTTATAAACAGGAACCTATTTGGTAATACTAAAATTCATTGAATCTGATGAAATTGATGAAATTCTCGCTGAAGCATCTGGATTAGATGAATCCGCTGAATGCTGGAAAAAATATTTTGAAAATAATTTTTTTTATGAAATAAAGAAAAAATATAAAAAAAAAGTGGCTAAAGTTGTCCTCTACAGTGACTTAAGCCAATTCAGTTAGAAAAGAAACTACAACCTTACTTATTTTGGTTAAAATAAGCGGAGATGCATCTAAAAATTAGACAGTAGGACCCCAAACGGTTAAGAAATATTAGTCAAGTACCAAATGTGAACAAAGTGAAAGACGTGGACTAAATGTGTAATTGACATAAAACACGTACGTCCAAAAGTGAAATTAATTCTAAAATCAAATGTCCAACAACTTGTGTTATTCAAAAATTTCGCTCAACCTCCTCCCATGCAAACTTATTAACCCCCCCCCCCCCCCCCAAAAAAAAAAAAAAACTAGCACCACTTGAACTTCTTAAGTAGTGTTACACATATGTTGAGGTTTATTCCTCTGTGTCCAAAGGTCCAACACATTCCTTTGGCCTTCGTCAGAATGCGTTGGTTGAAATGATTGTTTAGTGAGCGTTTAGTGCAAGGAAAGAACAAGGCAAGGCAATAATTAGAAGGGTAAAGTGGAATCCAACTCTATTCAAATCTATAGAATGATTACAAACTCCTGCCGAGCGGCGATTCGACCCTCTAGACTGAGCTGAATGCTACTGAAAGAACTAGAGATAAAGAAGTTGATGGAGTATATGACCCAGGAACCCCCGGCCCACAAACTCCTACTTCTCCTAAATAGGTCCAACAAGCCCAATAAGCACATGAAGCCCAAATACAGTGGCCCAACTTAAAGGACCCCGCAATACGTACAGTGATGCCTTCATCACTATGACCGAGGGCTCAATATTATAGGACACTCCTAATTTTATGCATGAGAAGCAACTGGGAGAAAATGGCAGAAAAGCAGTAGCCTTCGGCCTCTGGGAGCCTTCGGCTGTCAAGCAGTAGCCTTCAGTCATAAGCTTTTGGCTGAAGGGTCACCGCCTCACGAAGCTTCCTCCTTTGGAGACAGGCAACCACCGCATTCAATGCGGCGTCACGTCCAACCACCGCATTTAATGCGGTGCACATGCAAATGCTGGTGCCACCCCGATTGAAGTGACCCTCGGCCGTCGGATGACTGACACGTGTACTCACTTAGCATTTATGGCTGTTATAAATAACAACCCTTATTCCTCTTGTAAAGGATCCCAACTTAACGAGTTCATTTAATACATTTGACTCTCTCTCTTACTTGTTTTGCTCTGACTTCTCTCTAAGTTATTTCTCGTAATAACCCTTCGGATAAGCTACCCCCGAGTACACTATCCATCAGAAGTCTAATGCTTAAGAGTGCAAAGTTGCTAACCATTTACCAATGAAATGAATGTTGATATTTATACTATAAGTAAGTAGGTGGAGAGGGTGACATGGATGACCCTGAGTGGATGAATACCCAATCATAAAATCTTTCATATCTGGTGCATTGAATGCG